TGATTAATAAGAAGTTGACTATTTTAAGTGTTATAATTTTATGGAGTTAAAGCGTTAACTTAAATTCAGCAGCAGAGTGACACCCAAATCACTCCTCTGATTCACAAATACTCTATTTATACTCTGCTCAACCCATCCTCAATAGATAATATTTATTTTTTGTTTTTGTTTGTTTTTTGTTTTTGCTAAATAAAATTGTGTCGACTTGTCCATGGCGACCTGATGGACTGAATGGGAAAAGATGGACGGATGGATATTTTACTAATTATTCACTGATCTGATTTTTTGGCATCATTCTTTAACAAGCTGGAATTACATTTCCAAAAAACATTTGACAGAGTTCTTGTTCTTGTTTTAATATCTATAATAAAAACAGTGATCAGTTAAGGGAGCCGCTGATAGTGGAACTGATAACATAATCTAGAAGGTGGTTGGAGATAATCCAGTGATCAATTCATGATCCTCAAGGATATTCTGGACCAAACCAAGAGAATTGATTTACTTCCAGGTTCAGATGTCTCCAAGCATCAGTTCAATTAAGTTTATTCGAAAAAATGATGAAAAAAGTGCATAATTAGGTTGCTTTGACAAACTCCAAAAAATCATCTTATTATTGTAGTTTGTTATGGTGTTCTTCAATAGAGTGGCGTGATTGAACTGTTAAGTGCCTTGAGATGACATGTGTTGTGAATTTGGCGCTATATAAATAAACTGAATAGAAAATTGAATCTCATCCAGAAGTTTTTTGTTTTCAGAGGTGTTATTATAGCCACAGATGTTTAATAAAGTACTTTTCACAGTGTCAACAATAATGATAAAACCCAATCAGGGATCCTGACTATCTGCAGTGTGTCAAATAATCTGTCCAAGAAAGTTTTAAACTAAACACAGCGACCCCTGCTGGCCTTAAAATGCAATGACTAAAGTAAGAGAAGTTACTGTATTGCTGAAACAGCCTCTGATCAGTGGCACGGGAAGGGGGGTGCTGCGGGCTGCAGCCTCCCTCGTCATAGCATCAGCCCCCCATGGTGGGGGCTGTGGAGTAACATAATATTGTACTTAAAAACATGAAATTTTTTATGTATTTATTTTTTAAAAGACTATGTTTGATATGGGATTAAAATGATGGGCTGTGTATAAGATATAAACTAATGATTCATTATTTTAATATTTCATAAAAAAAACTAGGCTACTCCCCCAGAAGCTTCCGCCACCTCACATTCGTTTAGGCATGGCTAGCAACAGGCAGCAGAAACGTATTTCTGACTATTTCGAGGTAAGAAATGGTTTTAATTCCCCTATACTGCCGCATTTAGCGTTATTTATGTGCCTATTTGTCGTAGTCCTGTGGCTGAAGAAGTCTACGCTAGAATAAGGCTGCATATCACTAAATTTTATGTCTGTATTAAGCTATTTAGTGATAAAATATGAAATTAGTTCATTTTTTGTGTGTGTGTTTTTTGTTTCAGAAATGAAATCATTCCCCATATCCATAGTCGAATGGACTTTCAAGACGTTCAATGCTCAGTTTAGGCTATATTTAGGCCATGTTTTATTCCTGATCCTGTTGATTGGGAGCTGTTGTTTGTTTTGAATGATTAAAAGAGAAGAAATAAAGTTTAAAATGTTCATGCTTTGTTCCGATGCATTTTAAATGGCAGTTTTTGGCGACAAATGTAGGCCTACAATATTATGTTAAAAACGTCAGCCACAGCCCTCAACATAATGACTTCATGTGTTTTCCAACCCAGCCATCAGCCCCCCTCGCTTGAAACAGCTTCCAGCGCGCCTGCCTCTGATTGGAAATTAGTTTCTTCAATGAGTGTGTGTGTTCATTTCCATTACAAATTAATAAAATATATATATATATTTTTTTTTGTTTCTCAGGCATCTTGAGTTAAGAGATAGAAGAGAGATTTCACTTTTAAATTGTGAACAGATTATTAGGAAATAAAATATAAAAAGATCCAATACCTATTCCATGAGTTTTAATGGGATGTTAAAGGAGCAATCCCCTGTAAACATTACCAACCTTAGGACAGGTGTAGGACCAACTCTGACAGAATAAAAAATTAATATAGAACTAGATTAGAAGTCACCTGCTGCACATCTGAGTGCTTCAGATTCAGAGCAAATTGCATTAATCTTTTTACAGTCGTTATCTGATTTTCCAAACTACTTTAAAAATATGATAAAAATCAAATGAGGAACTTTTCACCAATTTTTAAACAGATTTATTAAAAGGATTTTTTAATGTTTATTTTTTGGTAGAGTTTGGTTCAATTTGAAGAATGAATAAAAATTGTCAGTTATACAAATACAGTCATCTAATCCGTTCAGATTATGTTTTTGATCGCACTCTGTCCAAAATCTGGGGGAATGTGATGTTATCGCTGATCTATATTTATTTACTGGCATTGGCGGCAGTGGCGGATCTAGACCAAATGTACCAGGGGGCCAGGAGGGGGCCAGCGTGTTTTCATGGGGGCCCAGAAAAGCATGAAATAAATAATCGGGGAAAGAGATTCAAATATATTAATATAGCTGCATGAAGAAAAATTTATTTTCAATGAGTTTCAATAAAAATCTATTTCTTATGAGGTCAATATACATTTATAATTTAGGAATTTTACATATTTTTCACTTAATTTAAGTTAAAACTACTGTTTTCTATACATTTGAAATTTGAACTCAAGAAAAACTGTTAAATTCATCTGTAAAAATTAGAGCATTTTTTTCTTTATTAAAAAACATTTGACAGATGAAAACTGGGATCCTATCTCAATCCCACGGAAGCTATCACCTTATTGTTTTTTAATAATTTGTAAAACAGAATTTGTAATGAAAAGAATGAAATAGATCCAAATGACCTATCAGTAATCATGTCTGTTCCAGCCCAGATCATTGTTAGAATTTCTTTTAAGTATTATGTCTTCAGGACATGATCTACAGGGGCACTGGCCCCCGTTGGCCCCTGTCTAGAACCGCCCATGTTTACTGGATTGCTAATTGCCCAAAAAAAAAAAAGCCACCAGCCGCCATTTCCAAGGAGACGCTCCATAAAAATGCCTCCCTGTGCAGCATTTGGCTGCATAAACAAGCAGCTTTCCGGCTGTAGGAAGACGTTCCACAGGTAATTTCACTGCCAGGGTCAGTTTGTGCAGACATACTTTTATGTGTAGTTTTTTTTTTTTTTTTTTTCAAATGATCAGATTATTGTTGTAACTAAGAGCAAAAAGCAAAATATGAACCTGATGTTGCCTGTTATTTTACCAACTGATGTGATTTTGCTAGTGTAAAAACTAAAGCTCTGTGGAGTTATTAATTTGGTTCATTAATTTAGCTCTATTGTTAATCTGTCAGATTTTTAGGCTAATGCACAGACACAGCATAAATATATGGCATCATGCATGCACAATTTGCAAATAGAAAAATACTACACTGCAGAAACAATCTAGAAATAAGTCAAAATGTCTTAAATTAAGTATATTTACCCTCAATTTGAGCAAATAAATAAGATAATTTGCCAATAGAATGAGGACCTTTACTCTTAAAATAACGTAATTAGATAATATACACTTGAAATAAGAAAATGAAGTTGTTTTTTTCTTATTTTAAGCGTAAATGGTATTTTTCCATTGGCAAAGTGTCTCATTTACCTCCTCGATTCAAGAAAAATACACTTATTTTAAGAAAACAAAAGACTAAAGACTAGATTTCGATTATTTCCACTGTATAGCATCAACAGACATCTACTGGTAATTCAGTCTTTATGTAAAATCTTAAAATTCTATGTAAGATATAATTACCATAACAATGTAATAAATACATGTATATTACATGAAAATCATTATCGATTATTCTGCTCCATTAACACATTAATTTCACTGTGATGGATTTGAATTATATGTTATATTACATGATTTATAGACTTCATTGACTTCATAATGACTCTGCAATGTGATGGGCCGATTTATTTATTATAAGTTAATCTACTGATGCTATGAAGCAGCCAGTCTGTGTCAAAATGATGAATTTATCTTTATTTTAAAAGTCTAAAGTCCCCCTGAAAATGAGAACATCATCGTTGTTCAATGCTGTAGTGCACAGATTGTTTACATTGAGATCGGTCTAACTAGGGAGTACCAATATGGCGGCCGGTGGCTTCACTTCCACCCTGTACTACCAGCAGGCAATCAGCTATCCAGGGAATAAATAGAGGTCAGTGGTCTTTATCCATCTAATCCTTTCAGATTATGTTGATGATCGCATTCCATCCAGATTACAAGAGAAAAATCATTCTAGTCACTGAAGGGTTTCTTCGGTTGCGTGTTTAGGAGGTATTGGTGCATTTCTGAGGTTCAATAAGAAGCCAAACGGCTGACTTTCCACAACAGAGTCCAAACAGCACCGGTGTGAGAGATTAATTGGATAACTTTTTATTTACAGATTAGAACGATGTTGCAAAGAACTTGTATCCACAAAAAACAGTTAGTGCAAAGAATTTCACTTTATGTGGAATTCTTTGCACAAGAATTCAAGAGTACAGAAAAATACAAAACTCTGTCTCACAGCGTAGTTTAATTTCTCTTGCTGAACAAAAAACTATAAACCTACGGAAGAGGATTAGGGCCACTGAAAAAAACAAAAAAGTTAACTGAATTTTAAATTTTATTTCAGTTTAACATGGGAATCAGAATTCTGAGATTAAAGTCAGAATTCTGAGAAAAAAGTCAGAATTCTGACTTTAATCTAAGAATTCTGACAATAAAAAAGTCAGAATTCTGACTTTTTTCCCATGTTAAACTGAAATAAAAATTAAAAATCAGTTAATTTCTAATCCTCTTCCGTAATAAACCAAAACCTGCAGCTTGGAGGACAAAGTCCGCCCACTGCGTTTATTCCTGAATGTAAATATAAATGCATTAAAGAGGCCTGTCATCCAGAACGCATCACATGTGTAAGCAGCACCTTTTCTAATGTGGTGATGAATGTATCATTTTCAATCAGGCACCGCTGCAGACAGCTCCGCTCCGCTTGTTGGGTCCTTTTTGCAGTGGCTGGGATTAGCCATTAGCTGCTAACATGCCGACTGTCGGAATTAAAAGAGACTTTCTCTTCAAAGCTTTGGGAAAAACATACAGTGAGTTTTTTACTTTAGCTTATTTTCACTTTAGCTTATTTTAGCTGTTGTTCATCTTTGATTTTAAGTTTAATTTAGATTTTAAAAAGGAATAACTCGTTGGTGCTGCGGCTGAACGTGCTGCTGACAGTTCATTGATTGTTGCTAACAGCTAAAGCTAAACATCGTTTAACTTCTTAGCCTGTTGAAACATTAAACTACTTCAGATTATTTCCCTACTTTTTAAAATAATTTAATGTCAGATAATGTTGGATTAATCTGAAATAATCTGCTTCCCATCGGTTTATGTCTGCATGGTTGCATCATTTCCTCTCCAGCTTTAATGACAGTTTAACAGCTGTGGGATTATAATCTGATTAATAACCAGCTGAATAAACTTTATTCCTTTTCCTTCTGTAGCTGATGAAGAATTTGAAGAGTTGTGCTTTGAGTTTGGCTTGGAGCTGGATGAGGTGGTAAGTAAAATAATTTAATTTTAAAAATCCAATCTGACCAAAGTTTGACTGAATCGCTGCTAAAAATAAGTCAGATAATCTTATTTACTCAAAAATTTTCTGAGAATATTCTAGAAATGTTTGTTTTTATTCGTTTAATTGAGTCTGAATCATCAGACTTTTAGTTTGTCAATCTGAGTTTTTATTCCTAAACAGCTTCTTTCATTTGAAGGAGGATTAAATATAATTTCCAATTAAACCAGGATCAGATGTTAAGGTTTGAAAAAGGAAAACTTCTGCTTTTTAAAATGGAAAATTATGGTTTATATTCTAATCTGTAATAGGATTCACTGTTTTAAGCAAAATATAATATTTGCTGTTTTCCATCGAAGGTTTTACTTTGACATTTCTTAAAAATCTAAATTTCCAGCCAATAGTGTTATTAGAATCCAGGTCAAGACCTTATTTCCTTTGAAACATTCAAAAAATATGCATATTTTGATGCCAGAAATTAATCTTAATGTAATAACAAGAAAAAACAACTTGCACGAATATAGAAAAAGAAAAATAACAAAAAGTGTTTCTATAAGAAATTCATGAAAAAAACTCTTAGAGTGAAAGAAACACATTATTTTGGTTCAACATCACCTTAGAGGCATTAATGCAAATACTGGCACTCACATCTTTTTTATATAAACCTAAATACAGCTGTTATGGAGGATTATCAACTTTTTAACTTTTCAATTAGCTTTTTACCTTTTTTCTTGACTTAACTTTTTTTTCCAACTTAATTTCCAGTAGTTAATCTTTCATTCAAGGGTTCATCTAATTGGTCAAATGCCAAAATAAGATGTACAACCATGTAGCAGGATCTATGCTGAATGGCTGGATATAGATCTAGTGCTTCTAGTCCTCACTGAGGTATGTTGGGGGGGGACTCGGTTTGTAAGGGTATGGAAGTGATCAAAAATGGAAACTTGCCCTATAAAGCGGGGGTCGTCAAAGTTTTCCAGGCCAAGGCCCCCCAAACTGATGGAGAGATGGAGCGGGGACCCCCTAATTATATATATATATATATATATATATAATGTATATGTAATTATCGATACAATAGTGTTCTATCAAACTGGTCCTATAGTCACTCTATTACAGATGGAGTAATGTAACTAAAGTAATCCCTCCCTGGGATTATTAAAGTATTTCTGATTCCTGGTTGATGGGACAGGTGTTGTGAATGAAACGGTGTCCAGCTTGAAAGAGCTCCTGTGTGTCTCTGAATGTGAGCATTGATGTCTGAAAGACATCTTCTGCCTCCATTTATCTGTTTACTACAGTCTGTTGGATTCATGTTAATGAGGATTTAAAGACATTTCAATTAGGGGAAAAAAACTGCAGGGGGGGAATATAAAAAAAAAAAAGTCTAATCAACCGGAATTTTCGTGACCCCCATGCAGTACCTCCATGGACCTCCTAGGGGTCGCAGACCCCCTGTTGAGGACCTAAAATGGTTTTTGTATTCTGTCTGCTAGCTCTTTATTTCTAGCGACGTTAGTTTTAGTTTAAAACTTTACATGTGGACAGAAAGAGATGAAGCAAATGTAAAGAATAATAAAAAGCTATGTTTCCATTTCCATCCCTGTGTGAACCTCTTTGCTCTGTCGCCATCCCAGACCTCGGAGAAGGAGATAATCAGCAGGGAGCAGGGAGACTCCAAGGCTGCTGACGCATCCGATGTCATTCTCTACAAGATCGACGTTCCTGCTAACCGCTACGACCTGCTGTGTCTGGAGGGCCTCGTCCGCGGTCTGCAGGTCTTCAAGAATAAGTGAGACGCGTAACATCGCAACAACAAAAATCATTTCTGTTGGTTGAAGCTTCTTTTTCATCTGGATAAACACCCCCCCTCATGTGTTTCAGGCTGGAGGCTCCTAGATACAGGCGCCTGAGCCCAGACAGCGGCGAGCCGCAGCGGCTGATCATCACTAAAGAGGTGTGAGGTCACTGCCCTAAAAATAGCTAAAGCTTAGCTTTAGTCCGGGAGTTTTTGACGCTTTCCTCTCATGCAGACGGCAGCAGTGAGACCTCACGCCGTGGCCGCCGTGCTGAGGAACATCACTTTCACTCAGGAGCGCTACGACAGTTTCATTGAGCTGCAGGAGAAGCTGCATCAGAACATCTGCAGGTCGGTGCCGCCTGAGCAGGGATGCTGATTGGCTCAGAGGGGCTGTTGGACAGGATGAGGTCACAGTCGGGTTGATGAGTTTTCCTCGTTTCAGTCTCATAATAAAGATAATGTTAAACATCGTAACAGTTTAATAAACCGGTTACAGCTCAACCCTACAACTCCCAAGGCCGTCACTTTGACAGTTCTGAGATTTTAAAGGGAAATAACTTTATTTACATTAATCATATGTTGCTCATTTTAACTGACTTTTCCTGTTTTGATATTTCCTTAATTTTCACATATAAAAATGGTTAATTTTACCTCGATCTACTCAAGCCGTCATTTTGACGTCTCTGTTGTTGTGTTGTAAATTCTTCCCACGTTTGATTGACGTTCGGTACCGTTTCCTAGCAACCAACATTCTACCTAGAACTAACACAGAAAAAATGGATTTCAGAAGAAATCTAACAGCGAAACAGGCTTTAGAAATGCCTCCGAATATTGATGATGGCGTTTCGGGTGGAGAGAGAGACCGATGAGGAGGACTGGTTTGGAAGTGGCTCAGACAATAGTTAAACTTTAGTTTAGGGATGGACGATATAATCGGCCCCCTATCGGTATCGGCCTTAAAACTGAATATCGGACATCGGCCACCCCACCGATATTTAACCCGATATTTGATCAGCTTCTGAGTTTCTAAAGTCTAAAAAAAAAAAAAAAAAATACTACTTCTTCTTCTTCCTCAAAAACTTCTTTTTTACAGACTTAAAAACTTCTAAAGACGAGGGAAAAAATATTGATACATTAAAATATCCCAATATCTTCATATGCTGATATATTGCCATTTAAAAACACCATATCAATCTCTTTTACTAATGAAATATTGCTATATGTCATCGTTATGCTACGAAATCCCCCGAAAATTGACAAAATTTTGCCATATTTTTATGTTGATATATTGATGCGGTATCGATCTATTTTACTAACAAAATATCACAAGAATTTGCAAAATATCACGAGAGTTTGTAACAGAACGATGAAATTTCACCAGATTTTGAAAGTAAAATAGATCGATACCGCGTTTTTTTACCGCTCAGCAGCCCAAAAGCCAAACCAGATTCCGTGGACGACTATAATCTCACCAAGGTCGGCGTGGATGTGTCGCATCAGATGATTCCAAAGTATCCTATTAAAGCTCCGGCGCGAAGGCGGCCTGTGGCTGTATTTCATCATCTCCTGGACGCGGCAGCTATTAACATGTCTGTTTTGTTCCGGAGCTGTTTGAACGTCACCACCTCACGCAGAGATTTAATCCCGGAGCTGGTAAAACCACACGCGCTCCGAGCGCAGGTTACCAGCCCCTACAGAAGCTTTGGCGAGGGAAAGAAAACGGCGCCAGGTGCTTCATCGCCGCACAATAAAATCTAATCATATGACGTTCGTCGTAAATGTGAAAACGTGGTCTGCGGGAAATGTTCGGGGTAATCGATCAATTTCTGTAAATAAAATTTTAATTTCAAACTTTCAGCAGGTAAAACAATCTTATTTTACTGATTTAGACTACAATTAATAATAGCTAATAAAATATATAGCTATTCTAGCTGGTGCACTAGAAGAGTAAACCTGCTGATTTATACGCAGACGACCTGATTTCTGACTATAAATCAGCTTTACTCTCCGTCTCTGTTAGCATTAGAGGTAAAAATTAATCAACATGTTTTTGTTTTTTTATAACTGAGTGGATCTTGGACTGTTTAAACAGGAAGAGGAGCCTGGTGGCCATCGGCACTCATGACTTGGACACCATCTGTGGCCCGTTCACCTACACAGCCAAAGCTCCCGGAGACATCAGCTTCAGGCCCCTGAACCAGACCAAAGAGTTCACCGCCACCCAACTCATGAGCCTCTACAAGGTAAGCAGCTGCCTCCGCTGGCTGGATTCTGGGCTCATAAACAGAACTAACCCAGGATGGTTCTGTTTACACAGACCGACAGCCACCTCAGGCATTATCTCCCTATTATCGAAGACAAGCCCGTCTATCCAGTCATCTACGACAGCAACGGGGTCGTCCTGTCTATGCCTCCTATAATCAACGGTGAGCTCTTCTCCTCGTTCTTCATCGCATCTGGTCACTGAAACGGAAATCGAGCAGAACGGCAGCGGAGATCGGGGAATAATCCAGTTTGCTTTGGTTCCAGGGGATCATTCCAGAATCAGCTTACAGACCAAGAACATCTTCATCGAGTGCACGGCCACAGATCTCACCAAGGTACCACCCACACTAACCCCGCCCCCTTACTGTTGCCGGGAGAAACTGGCTCACACCTAAAAATGTTTTTCCCTGCAGGCAAAGATCGTGTTGGACATAATAGTGACCATGTTCAGCGAGTACTGTGCGAAACCGTTCACGTAAGTCGCCGTTCTTCAAGTGCTTTACAAGAATCTGTAAACCAGAAAGGCAGAAATAATAATAATAAATAAATATTCTTTATTTTTTTATTATTAGTTTAAATTTTGTATCGGTATACTCCGTCCTCCCTGAACAGCGGGATTAAGAGCTGCACAGAAGGTCCGAAATTAACTTCCCAAATCAATTTTTTATTTGGCGAGTTAACGCCACAGCGCCATTCGCCACAAGGCGAGGAAATTTTTGGACCACAGCTGCGTTTCAGTCGGATATTATTAATAATGACCTGGATCAATATCTGCTTGCAAATGAGCTGATGGTACAGATCGGCTAGTGACACTAATGTTAGCTTAAATCCTCTCAAGCTGTTTACTTAGAGATCCATCTAAAGTCTCTTTCCCTCTGAAAACATCGCGTTAACGCGTCTTTTTCTAATATGGGTCGACCAGCTAACAATCGGCATCTGGTTCCCTTCCCATTGGCTAATAAAGTTGTTCTAACCCCTCGCTGGCTGCTGCATAGCCTCTGTCCCCCCCACCGATGCGTGTCTGGTGAAATCACATTGGGTTAGTGTTGATGATGTCACCAGTGTGACAGAAATCAGGAAAGTAAACAATGAAGAGCAGCATGGAAGGAAGGCAGGGCGTAGTCAGAGTGCTTTGTTGTTTCTCTCCATTATCTGTCTGAATCCGTCTCACAGGAGCTGCTCCATGTTCATCCAATGGAAACAGTCGATTCTGCTCAGATCAGAAGCGACTGGCGCGGCGTGTCGACGTCAGCATATTGCGTTCAATGGTATTGCGTAATTTAGCGGGTCGACCCGGCTCTGGTGTTCCCACAGCGTGCCGATCAGAGCCGGGGTGATTTTAACGCGACTCGCGGCAGTGAGCTGTTTCCACTTAACCTGACTCTGCCAGATGGATTTGCTCTGCATATCCATCTGGAAACCTTCCGTTGAAGTAATTTTGGGAAGGGGCGAAAATACTGGTTAGCTGATTGGCCTATGTTGGTGATAGACGGGCCAAATAAACCAATCAGATCAACGAAGCATATGACGTACTAACAGAGCGACGACGAAGAGGAGCCAATTGATAGATCAAACTCTTGCCGAAACCAGTGGGGAGAAGAGCAAAAACATCTTTTCCTCTGAGAAAAGCCTCCAGAGCAGTGTTTTGCTCTTCTTTCAGTGAAGAAATACTCTGTAACTCCGATAAAACTTGCTCGATAGCCACGCTAACGCTAGTTTCATCGGCTGAAGCCGTCATGTTCTTTAGACTGAACTGTCGCGCTTCTCGTTGCGTCACACCTCAACCCGCCTCAAAGCCAACACTGATTGGACGTTCGTTTGGTGAACGGCTCCAAGTTTTCTTCAACGGAGAGTCTCCAGACTGATCTGCGAGTGAAACCTTGAAAGCTCGCGAGATCAGGATGGTCTCACTGCCCCTAATAGCTCATTGTTCCCGAGTTTAAACGGGTTTTTCAGCCAGTGGGAAAGGGGAATAACTCCAACCATCTTAGCCGCTAAGTTGTGCCCATCATCTGCCCTCTGGTCACCAGAGATGGCAAAAGTACTCACTTTCCGTACTTGAGTAAAAGTACACATACTTGTGTTAAAAAATACTCTGGTAAAAGTGGAAGTACTGATTCAACTTCTTTACTCAAGTAAAAGTAACAAAGTACAGGCTTGTAAACTTACTTAAAGTATAAAAGTAAAAGTAGAAACCACTTTTTTATGTCGTTGCCTACATTTTAAATGGATGTCTGCCAATAGAACTAGATCTCCGTTGTGTTCATTTTCAATCATCTCGTCGTCCATGCTACTATGCTAACGCCACCGCCACCAAGCTGCAATGATTTGCCGCCAATGAATACCGCCGAATCTGTCGATTCATCTTGTAGCGGTGCGTCAAATGCAACGTAGATTCCCATCCAATTAGATTGAATTTGGTATTGATGACGTGAAAAATAATAACGGTAACTCCATTGAAATGATTCAAAACTAAAGTAATGAGCCAATTTTTTAAAATGTAAGGAGTAGAAAGTACAGATATTTGTGTAAAAATGTGAGGAGTAGAAGTAAAAAGTCGCCATAAAAATAAGTAGTAAAGTAAAGTAAAAATATCAGAAAAAACTACTTGAGTACAGTAACGAAGTATTTGTACTTTGTTACTTCCCATCTCTGCTGGTCACCTAGCAACTCCTGCTGTGGTCAACACCATCCAGTCATGTAAACGGATTCATGCTAATGTTAGAATCCCGCGCTGTAGCTCCTGTTGAGAAATGTCTTAATTTAGAGCTTAAAATGGCAAAATTTCTCCAAAAGGTGACAGATTTTTATGCCCGATCTTTTAAGATAAGTGTTTCGAAAAAATTAAATCAATTCAACAAGAAATTCTGTATTTTTTACATGCTAAATGTATCTAGTCTCTGAAATCCAATGTGGTTGGAGATTAGTTCTGTCAGTTTCTGCTTATTTATCCCCTCAACACTAAATATTAAATGTTTGACCTGCAGTAAATCTGTGTGGTTTTGTCTTTTCTGCAGGGTGGAGCAGGCGGAGGTGGTTTACCCGGATGGACAGATCTTCACCTACCCCGTACTGTTTCTTCTCTTCTTCTGAGACGTTTCCCTCCGTTTGCATCGTTTCTAAACGTTCTTTCTTGGTTGCAGGAACTGACTTACAGGAAGGAGAAGCTTTCTGGAGAGTTCATCAACAGAAAAGTCGGCATCAGGTAACACAGCAGCCTGAAGTCACCTAAATCCGATTTAGTTTTTTTGTTTTTTGCCCGTATGAAACCTGGATCTGATCTTTTCATGACAGTCTGATCAACACAGATCCGATTTGTTCCAGTTCAACCCAGGCCACTTAGCTCTGTGGTCCTGAATACGATACCAATCTAATCTTTTTAAATGTGACCTGTGTCTGAACGGCCAGGTCGCATTCATCCGACCTGAACGCCATTAATAACCGACAAAGGTCACTATTCTGCATCTTGCTACACAGAAGCAGGAAGGAAAACAACAACCATGATGGAGGATGATGCGGACCGCTTTATTTATATTGAAAAGATTGAGTTTTTATGGTAGGAAAGATCGCTAGATGCGCTCCAGCCCTACCATCCATGTTTACTTGCGTAAACGCAGAGCACGCTTGCTTGTGACTAGGGGTGTAAATAATATTCGTTTTGTATCGATGCATCGATCCAACAGCCGACGATCTGATGCATCGACACGTCCACAAGAGAATTGATTCATTTTTTGTTCCTCCGGTCTATTTTTATCCATTTGCTCCTGGACGTAATTCTCCTCCCGTGCTGCGGTGGCGCTAAATCTATTTTGCCCTCCTACCTCGCTTCCTGGTTATACTCTTACAGCAGTGTGTTGCAGTGAGCTTGATGCAGACATTTTTAAATTATGCTCAATATTGAAGCGTGGTCTGTGCTACACGCTGTGGGTCTAGATACGGCCGAGGCGGCGAGGAAGTGGGGGCGAGTTTAGTCCGACGACGGAGGGACATGAGGGCCAAAAAGAGCGGAGATCCAGGTGGAAAAAGGGTCCCAGCGTTCTCGCGCACCTCGCTCTTCTAGCGGGTCAAACTTCACGAGTTGTTTTACGCAATTTCGGTCATAAAAACAAAACAAGCCGGTAGGGCTGCAACAACGAATCGATAAAATCGATAAAAATCGACTTTTAAAAGCGTTGGCAACGAATTTAATCATCGATTAGTTGTGTCGCGCGATTAATGCGTCATCTGCCGCCGCCGTCATCCCGGGGAAGAAAAAAAAATATGGCGGAGCGAGTCAGCGCCGCAGTGTTGCCAACTCAGCGACTTTTCAGACCCCTCCAACGACTATTTTTTTAAAAAGCGACTAGCGACAAATCTGGCGACTTTTTACGGTGTCACTGGCGGCTTTTGGAGACTCTTACTTGAAAGCATGTATCGTTCCTACTCTGCCGTGGGGCGCCTCCCCCATCCCAACACCTTTCTCCCTTTCCCACAAGAATCCCTCTCAGCGCTGCAGTCAGAGCCGCAGGATTTTAGTGAGGAGTTTACCCTCAGCGTCCAGACTGCAAATGAAGCGCGCATGCCCCGGGATTGACGGCGCAAATTGATCACAATAATTAAAATAGCCTGCGCTTTGTAAAGTGAAAAAAGTCGTAACATGCAACTTTTGTAAAAACAAATAAACATGGCGCGGAACCACCACTGTTATGACGCAGCACCTGAAAAGAAAACATGTTGGAGCCTCGATGGCAGTGAAGAGAGCTGATCAGCAGGATGAGCGGCCATGTTTGTTTCATTTTAAAGTGGGGAAACGTAACGTTAGTTTCTCAGGTAGCTCATCTGATGCTTTCCTTACCGTGTTAGTAGGTTACAGACAGGGATAAGGTTGGCTACTTATTTTACGTTTAATTTCATTGAATTAGCTTAAGCAGCGTTTATATTTACTTTATAAATAAATTAACTTGCAAATTATGAGGGCAAGGCTTTTAAAGTTTAAATCTTCTGGCAAAGATAAAGTAAAGAAGATCCTGCAATTTATGGAAGTAAAGCAGAATATAATCCAGCAAGATCAGTAATATGTCAATTAATTATCTGCCACATTCCCATGTAAATATCTGTCTTTGGAGGATGTGTTTTTTAGCACCCCTAGTTCTCTCATTTTTATTCCAAATACAATTTATAATTTGAATCACAGGGCTATTTTTATCTCTATGGTTCAGTATTTTCTCAAGTAGCAACTTTAACTGCTATACTTTCCTGTCTTAAAAGGCAGAACTCTTCTAGTCTAAAAAAAACCTCATTTGTTGAAATGGGGGGGCCTATTGTTTGAACCCCTTAGGGGCTTTAAAAAACAAAAATGCCTGTCTCTTTTTGCGCTTTATGAAACAAAGTACCCTATATTTTGTGGATGTACAGCTACATTTCTCATGTAAGTTTGCGTAGTTTTAAAACAAACATTTATTTTTCATATTGCACTAGTACAGGTAATGAGAAACCTGTACTTGTGTGCTTGTTTGTTCTGTCTAAAATGTTTATTTTGGAATAAAGAGGTTAATATAAAAAAAATATTTTGTGTCCGATTCATCGATTAATCGAAAAAATAATCGGCCGATTCATCGATTTTCAAAATAATCGTTAGTTGCAGCCCTACAAGCCGGCCTCCTGTCTGCGGCGCTGTCTGCGGTCACCTACAATCTGGGAGAGGAGCAGCGGAGCGTCTGTGGGGGGGGCGGGGCGTCTGGAGACGTATTGCATTGCACTCATTGCACTGATTTAGTGCAGTATTTTTTGATGCAACTTTTCTACTTCTGTTATTTGCTGTTGTTTCTAAAAAAAAAATGCATAACGATATTACAGCTTTCATTAATTTATTTCAAACTTGAAACATTGTCTAACCTGTAAGGTAAAAAAACAAAAATGTAACCAATTAATCGAATCGTATCGTGGTGTATTCTTGAGTATCGAAAATAATCGAATCGTTGGGTCAGGAAATTGATACTGAATCGAATCGCCATGATGGATGTGATTTACACCCCTAGTTGTGATGTCATTGCGTCCTCTGCTGCGCATGCGGGACACTTGTGTCTGCGGAAGGGGGCGGGGCATATCTCTGTTAACTGCAACACACACAGACCACCTGGTTTCTGAGCATAAACCAGCCTTTAGATCTGCTGAGTGTGAATCCAGTTAATCCTGAGCTGATCTCGGTCTTCAGATTAACCAGACGTTGACGTGAGGAAAGATTAAAGGAGCTTTGAAGCAGCGGCCTGATCGTTTTCCTCTTCCCTCCTCCTGTCAGCGAGTCAGCGGAGCAAATCTGTCAGCTCCTGACCCGGATGTGCCTCCTCTCCCATCCCCTCGGCGAAGAGATCGAGGTGGAGATCCCGCCCACACGCCCCGACATCATCCACGCCTGTGACATCATGGAGGACGCCGCCATCGCCTACGGTTTTAACAACGTCCCCCGCACGACGCCTCGCACCTACACCGTGGCCAACCAGGTGCGCCGCATCAGCTCCCCGGAAAACCTCCTTTTTCCAAACAGCTGAAAACGTCCCGTCTTATTTTAACGATTCTTATTTTTCCCAGTTTCCTCTGAACAAACTGACTGAGCTGCTGAGACACGACATGGCAGCCGCTGGATTCACCGAGGCTCTAAACTTTGCTCTGGTGAGAAAAACCCGGAATGACGCAAACTCCTGCCTCATTTTTTATTTTATTTTTTTTCCTGTAGATGTGATCGTTTTCCTCATTTGGGTTCCCGCAGTGTTCGCAAGAGGATATCGCAGAAAAGCTTGGAAAGAAGATCTCAGACGTCAAAGCCGTTCATATTTCCAACCCCAAGACGGCCGATTTCCAGGTGAGACCAGGAAATGCAGCCATCCGCTTCCATTTCCTGATCTGTTTGCTTTAATGCTATCATCATCTCTACAAAACGGTTAAACGCGTTAAAAAGACAAACTCTACACTGCAAAAAATGTAAATCTAAATAAGTATTTTTTTCTTAAAATAAGTAATTTTTTTCTTGAATTGAGGAGGTAAGTGAGACACTTTGCCAATGGAACAAGAAAATTTACATTTAAAATAAGAAAAAATAACTGCATTGTCTTATTTCAAATGCATATTATCTAATTATCTTGATCTAAGAGTAAAAATACTCATTCCATTGGCAAACGATCTTATTTGCCTGCTCAAATTAAGAGTAAAGTCCCTTAATTTAAGAATTTTTGTACTTATTTCTAGATCGTTTTTGCAGTGTATTCTGACAAAATGTGTGACGGTTTGAACGCAGGGAAACTTTTCCATTTTCTGGCTGACTCTTAAAGGAATAGTACACCCAAAATATGATTAGCCTTCATTTTCTACTCACCCCCATGCTGAACAACACTCTGGAGTACTTTTTTGATATCTCAAATGCATCTGGAGATCTGGGAGGCTTCTTGCTGTCTGCTGACATTCAAATAATTGAGGTCTATGGCGCCCGAGGCAGAAAGGTCCATAAAAGTCCACAAAAAACGTGTCAATATTCCTCCATACTGCTCGTCCAATGTATTCCAAGTGTCCTGAGTGGGTAGCATCCAGAATTTACTCGAAACGAAGTCATTTAGAATGTTTTTAGAGCATAAACAGTAGTGTATAGGATTTCCTAAAAGCGCGTTCACGAGTCTACGGAAACCGGCAGACCAAACCAGATGAAAGTGCGCATTCAGCGTCTGCTCTGCCAATAATGCAAGCGTAGAAGAAGAAATGTGCTGTTTACCTGTGCAAAGAAAGAAACAACGAAAGAAAAATGTCTGAGGACTTCAGTGTTGAGGAAGAGCATGAGTTCTTTGCCGAGCTGAATGCGCACTTTCATCTGGTTTGGTCTGCCGCGGTTTCCGTAGACTCGTGAACGCGCTTTTAGGAAATCCTATACACTACTGTTTATGCTCTAAAAACATTCTAAATGACTTCGTTTCGAGTAAATTCTGGACGCTACCCACTCAGGACACTTGGAATACATTGGACGAGCAGTATGGAGGAATATTGACACGTTTTTTGTGGACTTTTATGGACCTTTCTGTCTCGGGCGCCATAGACCTCCATTATTTGAATGTCAGCAGACAGCAAGAAGCCTCCCAGATCTCCAGATGCATTTGAGATATCAAAAAAGTACTCCAGAGTGTTGTTCAGCATGGGGGTGAGTAGAAAATGAAGGCTAATCATGTTTTGGGTGTACTATTCCTTTAAGCATTACAAAGGACAAATGCCATTAAACAAACCACAAACAATGCTAATCTATACAAACATCCAAAACTTCCACTAATTTACATTAAATTGTCTACAAAAATAAATCAGACAATACATTTTAAACAGCTTATTACCCATTACAAACTAAGATAAAAACATCTATGCAGAGAATCCAGTGCAAGCCATCTATTACCACTGTTTCTCCACTAGGTGGTGCTCCTGCCCTGTTTAACTTTCTGCACAGGGTTCCCGCGGGTCCTTAAAAAGTCTTAAAAGGCATTGAATTCTTCAAAATAAAACTAAGGCCTTAATTGGTATTAAAATTTTTTTAAATCAGTCTTTCGTAGGTCTTAATTTTTAAAACATCATAAATAGGATTATTTTAATTGCGATTTATTTTTGTAATCTAAATAAGCATTAAAATTAACAATTTTAATTGGGACATTTGGGAGATGCACCATTAACTTTTTGTCTGGAAAATCTGAGCAAGTGTAAATGTAACCAAAATTGTCTCCAGCCAAGAGTTTCCTCCATGGCTAAAACCAGGGAACATACATGAGGCTCAGTGGATTTAGTGCAAGAAGTCATTCAAGCTCAGAACGATGGGAATTAAGGTTCCCTGCTAAAACAAAGTTTGTGAATTCAGTTAAATAATTGTTCAAATATATCTGTCATTTGTGTGTTTTTAGCTTTCTTCCTGTAAGGGAAGCTTTTCAAAATTTGAAACATTAGTGCAGTGGTTTATGTTATAATAAACCTTTGGGTTAAGTTGTCGCAAGCGGGTTTTTCTTGTGTTTCTTGTGAATTTGGTCTTAAATTTTTATTTCAAGTGGCATTAAAAAGTCTTTAATTGAACTTGCCTTATGCTGTAGGAACCCTGCTGCAGCCATGTTTCTAACCCGGTGACGTTTCATTTTCCCTCCACCAGGTGGCGCGCACCACTCTGCTGCCTGGCCTGCTGAAAACCATCACCGCCAACAGGAAGATGCCGCTTCCTCTCAAACTGTTTGAGATTTCTGATGTGGTGCTGAAGGATGAGAGCAAAGGTTGGAGTCTGCATGTCCCACAAACTAAGGCTGATGTTTCTGACACATTTATTTTCCCTTTAGACAAACATGTGCAGCTTATTGGAACATTAATACTTTTAAGTTCCTTTAACTGAACAACAGTTTTCTCCACCGTCCCAAAACAGAAGTTGGAGCGAAGAACAATCGCCGTTTCTGCGCCGTTTATTACAATAAAGCTCCGGGCTTCGAGGTGATCCACGGCCTGCTGGACCGGACCATGCAGCTGCTGGAGGTGGAGGCGGCGCGTGGAGATGGATACCACATCCAGGCTGCAGACGGTGAGACATTCTGGACTCAGAGGGGGAGTGTAGATCCAGAGAGGAGGATAGGAACCAGCAGAAAGTGTTAAAGGAAGGATATAAGGCTGCTTTGGTTGGGATTATCTAAATCCTTAAACGCAGTCAGTTATTAGAAGAGGATTTATGATGAGTGGGAGGAGGAATCTACACTGTAAAAAAGAAAACAAGTAATTGTTCTAGAAAAAAAAGTCTTTCCACTTGTTTTTAGCAGGTTATGATTCAGTTTATTTCTGTAGCTCCAATTCACATCATGTCATCTCAGGTCACTTTCCAGTTCACCAGATCATCCAGTCAGATTGATTCAAAGTTTTCTATCTAAGGAAAACCAGCTGATTGCATCGACTCATTGACTCTTCAGCAATCCCTCACACTAAGCATGCTTGTAGCGACAGTGGAGAGGAAAAACTCCCTTTGAACAGGAAGAAACCTCCAGCAGAACCAGGCTCAGTGTGAGCGGCCATCTGCTGAGGCCCACTGGGGTTCAAGGAGACAGAAGCAGACATAGAAAAAGAAGCATAGATACAAAAGGCAACTGTCAACCAGCTCCACAGGCGGCCCCGTCCAGGAAACACACAGCCAGGCAGACGAGCTCCGAGCCAGCTCCCATGTCAGAGGATGAAGAGAGCACATCCAGTTAGTCACGGGCAGAGAAACAGGACTACACTGGAAAACAGGCCAAGCTCCAACATCTAGAAACAAAGGTGTTGATGGCAGCAGCACAGCTGATATTTCTCTCCAGGATGGAGTCACAGCCAAACAGGAACAGACCAGATGAAGCTACTATGAGAAAAAGCAGAGAGAGCAGAACGTTAGAGATTGAACTAATAGATTCTGCAGAGTGGGAGAATAGAGAGAGAATGAAGCAGAATGATGAAAAAGGGGTCCCTATGTCCTCCAGCAGTCTAAGCCTATAGCAGCAGAACTATAGAGATAGCTCAGGATAACCTGAGCCACCCTAACTAGAAGCTTTATCAAAAAGGAAAGTTTTAAGCCTAGCCTTAAAAGTAGACAGGGTGTCTGCCTCACGGACTAAAACTGGTAGTTGGTTCCACAGGAGAGGAGCCTGATAACTAAAAGATCTGCCTCCCATTCTACCTTTAGAAATTCTAGGAACCACTAGTAAACCTGCAGATTGAGAGCGAAGTGCTCTGTTAGGAACATAAGGAACAATCAGATCTCTGATATCAGATGGAGCTTGGCCATTTAAGGCTTTATATGTGAGAAGGAGGATTAACGTATAACTACAAAAAAAGGATTTCTTTATCTTATTTTTTTCATCTAATTATCACAGTTCAGTGAGTTTCAATGTTCTGCAGCTTTTCATTCATTACAAATATGAGTCACAACTATTGGTTCAGTTCGACTCAGACTTCATGAATCACTATCTAAAAAAGGAAAAAATGTGAGGGAGGTTATTGCCTCAGCAGCTGTTACATAAACGATGGAAGATCTACAATTGCTAAACCGATCATCTGAGTTAATTTCTAACTCAAAGGAGGAAGCGTTTGATTCATGGCCTTCCAGTTTAAACACCTGTGATCATGAGACGCGGCTCAGAGCAGAAGGATGGAGATCCTGGATCAGAAGGTCCAGGATCTCCATCTGAGAGGAGAGGAGGATGGAAGGACAGATGGAGGTTTATCTGCTGCTCTGTGATCTGAGCTCCGGATCGTTTAGGAGGAGCTTCAAAGCTGCAGCTAACAGGCCAACCAGGTGGAAGCATCACTGTGGTGTTAGCTTTGAGCTTAGAGAAGATTCATGCCAGAGAAGGAAAATGTTCAACCAAGCCAATAAAATGTGGAACATCCTCTGAATGCTCCACATTTCCAGGTTGTGACTGAAAGTTTGACTCACTCCTCCCACTGAAACACAAACTTTCATTCATCAGAACCTCACAGCAGCGGGCCGAGCATGTCCCTACTAAAACATCAAAGATGCTCTCCCAACCGGCAGAAATAATATAGAATAAAAATTAGAGATTATTGATTTTTTTCCAGCGTTTTATTGTCATTACACTCACAAATATACAGGTGCTGGTCATAAAATTAGAATATCATGAAAAAGTAGATTGATTTCAGTAATTCCATTTAAAAAGTGAAACTTGTATATTATATTCATACATTACATACAAACTCATATATTTCAGATGTTTATTTTGTTTAATTTTGATGATTACAAATGACAACAAATGAAAATCTCAAATTCATCATATCAGAAAATTAGAATATTACTGAAGACCAATAAAAACAAAGGATTTATAGAAATGTTGGCCAACTGAAAAGTATGAACATGAAAAGTATGAGCATGTACAGCACTCAGTATTTAGTTGGGCCTCCTTTGGCCTGTATTACTGCAGCAATGCGGCGTGGCATGGAGTCGATCAGTCTGTGGCACTGCTCAGGTGTTATGATAGCCCAGGTTGCTCTAATAGTGGCTTTTAGCTCTTCTGAATTGTTGGGTCTGGTGTATTGCATCTTCTTCTTCACAATACCCCATAGATTTTCTATGGGGTTAAGGTCAGGAGAGTTTGCTGGCCAATTAAGAACAGGGATACCATGGTCCTCCAACCAGGTACTGGTAGCTTTGGCACTGTGTGCAGGTGCCAAGTCCTGTTGGAAAATGAAATCTGCATCTCCAAAAAGTTGGTCAGCTGCAGGAAGCATGAAGTGCTCTAAAACTTCCTGGTATGTGGCTGCGTTGACCCTGGACCTCAGAAAACACAATGGACCAACACCAGCAGATGACATGGCACCCCAAACCATCACTGACTGTGGAAACTTTACACTGGACTTCAAGCAACGTGGATGAAGTGCCTCTCTTCTTTTCCTCCAGACTCTGGGACCTTGATTTCCAAAGGAAATGCAAAATTTACTTTCATCAGAGAACATGACTTTGGACCACTCACCAGCAGTCCAGTCCTGTTTCTCTTTAGCCCAGGCAAGACGCTTCTGACGCTGTCTGTGGTTCAAGAGTGGCTTGACACAAGGAATGCGACAGCAGAAACCCATGTCTTTCATACGTCTGTGTGTGGTGGTTCTTGAAGCACTCACTCCAGCTGCAGTCCACTCTTTGTGAATCTCCCCCACATTTTTGAATGGGTTTTGTTTCACAATCCTCTCCAGGGTGCGGTTATCTCTCTTGCTTGTACACTTTTTTCGACCACATCTTTTCCTTCCCTTCGCCTCTCTATTAATGTGCTTGGACACTGAGCTCTGTGAACAGCCAGCCTCTTTAGCGATGACCTTTTGTGTCTTGCCCTCCTTGTGCAAGGTGTCGATGGTCGTCTTTTGGACAACTGTCAAGTCAGCAGTCTTCCCCATGATTGTGTAGCCTATAGAACTAGACTGAAAGACCATTTAAAGGCTTTTGCAGGTGGTTTGAGTTAATTAGCTGATTAGAGTGTGGCACCAGGGGCCATCAATTTTGAACCTTTTCACAATATTCTAATTTTCTGATATGATGAATTTCAGATTTTCATTTGTTGTCATTTGTAATCATCAAAATTAAACAAAATAAACATCTGAAATATATGAGTTTGTATGTAATGTATGAATATAATATACAAGTTTCACTTTTTAAATGGAATTACTGAAATCAATCTACTTTTTCATGATATTCTAATTTTATGACCAGCACCTGTAATATAACAACATTCCCTCTCTGCATTTAACCCCTCCCTTTGGGGAGCAGCAGGCTGCCATGGTGCCCAGGGAGCAGGGTGGGGTTAAGGGTCTTGCTCAGGGACCCAGAGTGTCAGACCCAGAGTGGGGATTGAACTCATAACCTCAGGATTCAAAGCTCTATGCCCAAACCACCAGGCCACCGCTCCGTAAAATGTTATACCTGCCAAATTAAATAATAACCGTTGTAGTTTACAGTAACATCTTAATAATGTGGTGATAATAAACACCTTTGAAATAAAATTATTAATCTAAAAAGATTTTTTGATTTCTAAACAAAATGAATATAGTTTAAAAAAACGTCTATTGCACTTTTTATGTTACAAATAGAGGAAAAAATGCATAAATATGCATAGAATTATTTGTTTCATGTAATAAACAATTTTTAACTGTAATACTTTTATGCTTGTATTTTATTAAACGTTTTAACATGTATTTATAATAGAACTGCTGTAATTAGGTTAATCATTTAGATATTTATGTTTTAGAGTTTCTATATAACCTTTTGATTATGATTATGAAATAAATTGAAAATTATTTTAATATTTAATAATCAGATTATAGATTAGTTAGTCGATACGTTGCTGAATGCAGAACCTAGAGATTGAATCTGCTGCTGTCGTCTTTCCGTTTCGTCCGTCGCTGTGAAATAATCAATCAGGAAGAGTTTCTCTACTTCTGTTGCTTGTTTCTTCATTCCCAATATCGGATCTCTCTCTCTTCTCCTTTGTCTTCACCTCCATCCTCCTCTTACTCCCTCTGCTCCTCCAAGGTCGCGCCGTCAGGTTTCCTTTCTTCCTTCCTGTCTGTCTGACAGCAGATCAATGAGCCTGAGTATCAGTGAATCAGAGACCAGACATACACTATATTGCCAAAAGTATTTGCTCACCCATCCAAATTATTGGAACCAGGTGTTCCAATCACTTCCATGGCCACAGGTGTATAAATTCAAGCACCTAGGCATGCAGACTGTTTTTACAAACATTTGTGAAAGAATGGGTCGCTCTCAGGAGCTCAGTGAATTCCAGCGTGGAACTGTGATAGGATGCCACCTGTGCAACAAATCCAGTCGTGAAATTTCCTCGCTCCTAAATATTCCACAGTCAACTGTCAGCTGTATTATAAGAAAATGGAAGTGTTTGGGAACGACAGCAACTCAGCCACGAAGTGGTAGGCCACGTAAACTGACGGAGCGGGGTCAGCGGATGCTGACGCGCATAGTGCGAAGAGGTCGCCAACTTTCTGCAGAGTCAATCACTACAGACCTCCAAACTTCATGTGGCCTTCAGATTAGCTCAA